AAACATTATATATATATATATATATATATATATATATATATTAACGAAATAAAGTATATTTACATTGATTTCTTGTGCTTATAACTACTCAACCAGAAAGTAAAAACCTTACAAAATTATTAACTGCAACAGTCTAAACCAGAGCATACCCCACCGAAGGCAGCCGCTTGAACTTTACTTCTACCTCTATCCTAACCTTGTTTACTTTGTTCATCTCAGTAAAACAGCAGAGAAACCAAAGCTTCTTCCTGAATAACAACTGACTCCGCCTTAAGGGACATCAATTCCTTTTGAAAAGAAGTTTTGCAAGTCCGGACCATGGCTAACTCCTCCTCTAACCACCGTAGTTGTGAGTCAACCTTAGAGATGGAACTCGCCCTTTTCTTCATTGCTTATATCACCAATGCAAGAGCTTTCTCATTAACAAATTTTGAATGTTGTCCATCCTCCATACTCTACGCCACTAAGAGAATGGAAGTTGAATCTGATAGAGCGCTTGGAAGATAAGTCCCTATGTCTCATTTATAATGGCTTTGGCATGGAAATCAAGAAATATTCAATCATTGCACATTTAATAGTCATGAATACCAGGAACTAGTTTCAAAACTTTAGATTCACTTGTCCCTAACACAGCTGCCACTATCAAGTAGCAAGATAATCGGAAAACTTTAAAATGTACATAAAACATGTGTTAGCACAGATCTTAAAGATATCTAGTAGTCGACGACAAAGATGATATGGCATCGTGGAGCCCTTCAAAGACCATCCACAACGACGTGCCTAGCTAACCAGCTCTCACATACGAGAAGGAAAACACTTCCAAGACAAATAATTAGGATATCTACTCCTAAAAAGTATTGAGACCAAATGGACAAAAAAATTTGTCACTTCCAAAATAGTTAGTACTACTCCCAGCATGTTGTCATCCGGCTTAACAACAATTTAGTCTAGAAGACGCCCGGCTTAACTGCCGCCCAATCTAGAAGCCGCCTAGCCAAGTTGCATTCGGCTGAACTACCGCACAATCCATTGGCCACCAGACTTCTCTCGGTCGGATATTTGTGGGCCCCACGTGCCATAATTATATATAGACTGAAATACCTCCTCCGTACCTATATACTCTAAGGGTACAACGTATACGATTACCTATTCTGTTAAATAGAAGGGCCATTTTATGAATAAAAGAAAAGCAAATTTAATATTCAACATTGCTCTATTTCTCTATCTCATTCCCTTAGAACTCTACTCTTTAGGCATCTCAGGATACAGCTTTGGATTTAACACATACCAAAAAGCTTTTTTAGTATTTATGTATCTAACAAATAAATTCCAATTTTTATATTTATTGTATATTTTACCTATGCAGGAAAAGCTGTATTTAACTTCTTAAATGAAGGGTTTTTTGATTATATAAGTGTTAAAAGCAAAGTTTAGATGTTAGACATGTAGAGACGACATAGCCGTATTTCACATTTTAATTTTTGATCCTTTTTTCTTCAAGCGGGAAACATGCACACAGATATTTGCCATTTAAAACACATAAACCATTAATAGCACTTTATTAATTAGCAGGAGCCATAACACAATACATAATAAAAGACATGACCAACGATTATTTTCTCAGCAAATTAAATAAACGTACACAAGCATACAACTTGAACAACAAATACAGTACTGGCGCATTAGTAATAAATCAGAAGGAAGGCTTCTGCTCTCAGAGAATCGCTTCGAACACTTCATTCTACCTCAGAACCCTCCTCTTTTAATTCACCCTGCGGCGTTCATCAAAAATCTTAAAGTCAGTCATTCAAATATAAAAGAAAGGTAACTTTATAAAATTTATGATAGATTGATAAAAAATACATTTTAAAATGTTATATTTTAGCATTGCCATGCCACAAGTATGCATACATATCACCTAAAACTTTTATATTTACCTATCTCACTCCTAAACTTTCATAATTACAAATATAATATGAAAAAATAGCACTTTATCAATTTTAAATGACAAATTTATCCTTTCATATCCATAAGTAAAATGTTATGTACACAAAAAACAGCGACTACTAATTTCTTGAAAGAGAAGGAAGGATGCTCACTTAGCGCAGTCCATGGAAGTACTGATCTTATATGGGATATTCACGCCGCACTTCTTCGGGAGAGCTTCGGCAAGCTTTATGTTAATGTCGGTTGCACCGGACGCCGCCGTCTTCAAGCACCGGCAAACGGTTTGGCGGTCAGCCCTCACCTTCGCTTCAGCATTCAAACTACTAATCCCATTACAGCACAATGCCGACGGAGCCGAGCTGCCGCCCGACTGAAGGTAGTCGACGCACGGCATCAGTTGCTGGTACACTTCCGAGCATGACAGCGCCGCCTTGCTTGAAGGTAGCGCCACCACCGCTGCAACCAGTACCGCCGCCACAAGAGCTGTGGTAGTCGGACGAGATATCATGGTTGAGAGGTGAGAGTAGAGCTAAAGTAGCTGGGAGAGGAGTTGATGGAGAAGATATGGTAAAGCTTGGTGGTGTGCTAGTCGTATATATAGGGCAATGGGTGTAGTGGGGGTGTGGAAAAAATATTAGATGGGGAGGAGTTTTAATCTATTAAAATTAATGGTGGGGCGTCACGTGTCAAATTATCAAGTGTATTAAGGTGAGGTTCTAATGTATTAGGACTATTGACCTAATATTTGTTCGTGCATTAGGACTCTTGACCTAATATTTTTTTGCATACAAACAAATATTACATCAGGAGTCCTAATGCATTAGGACTACAATATTGGGGCACCGCGTGTCAAATGATCTCACCGTAATATACTTTTTTAGGCCCACTTGACACGTGATGTCCCATCATTAAAATCCTAATGCATTAGGACTCCTAAACTAATATTTATTCTCGGGTTGATATAATTTTTTGAGCTGGTGGGTTCATTAATGGAATAGTTATTGCTAATTAATGTCCATATTTCTTGGTCTTGGAGCGTCTAGGAAAGGAAGAAAAGGTACATGAGCATTTTACTGTAAAAGAGCAAATGTGGCATGGAAATAGGCGCTATTGTGTCTTTTCGCGTGTAACGTTGCTAACACAATTTATTGCAGATTTTGTTTTAGGGTAGAATTATTAAGCATTTTCGATTGATGTGAAGTGTAATATCAACTCGGTAATGTATACCTTTTTTTATTGTGGAAATTATGGAAGAAATAGTTTAGAACTTTAGTTCTGAACTCTAGATACAACAGATTTATCATCCCACGCATTTTTAATGAGACAAATTAGATTGAAATCGCACAAATTACAGCGCACTTAGTTCTGAGTAGATTAAGTTGGATTCTGATCGAGAGGTTGGATCAGCCATACTCCATCTTTTGTGCAACAATCCAATAAGGCCTGGACAGGCCGTTGAACCTCAATTTTGAAGTGCATATTAAAAAGTTTTTTTATAAAAGTAGGACTGACCGGGATGGAGGAGCACGACCCATTTCGAGCCCGGCCCAACCTTAAAAAAGATATATTTGGCGACGGCGGGTGCTGTAGAAATCTTGAAAAATTATATGATTTAGACCCGTTTGGGGCAGTTTATTGGCTGCACTGTTTGGAAAACGCATTTGCCCTGTGTTTTGGAGCCGCACCTAAACACCGTTCACAAATTATAGACGGGGATGCAGGATCGACCTGCGTCCCACGTCTCCTTCTCGCGTTCGGGTCTGATTTCCTTCTATGCCTTTCTTTGCTCTCCCTCGCCTTCGCTTTCACCGATCTCTTCCTTCCGCGGATTCACCCTAGCGGGATCGTCACCGCATTTTCCTTCTCGTCGATCATTCCTCGTCGTTCCGTCCTTCGCTGCTCGTTCGTCCTTTCTTTGCCTCATATGTGGTATGTTATCAGTTGAAACCTCACTTTCGCTTAGCTGCATGATCATGTGGAAAAACAGACATCAATAGTCCGAAGCAAGGGTTTTCATTGCAGTTTGTTACTCAACAGCTCTCTGCTAGTGAAGACATGGTCGATCTTGATAAATTGTTAATTATCTTGCCTAAATTCATTGGTGTTAAATCCTATAGTTTGTGGAATTTATAAACCTTACACATGAGATTATGCTTGCTACAGGGTTTAGAACTTGTCTTCCTATACCTTCGTCCCCATCTTTAATAGTCAGTTGGATTTCTATGCAAGAAAAAGGAAGGACTCTTTGTTGGATTCAAATTACCACACAATTCCCATGCATGAAAAAGGAAGGACTCTTCATTATATAGTCTGCACTCTCATATCATTGTACACGACATTGTTTTGGGCTTTTCAGTTTATTATTTACGGTGGTTTGGTGGCATTGATTTGGGCTTTTTCAGCTTATTGTTCAGCTTACTGTTTATGGTTTTCATTTAATTTGGTTCTTTTGTAGCCATATAAATCTTAATTTATTTTTCTAATCTGACAAATGATTTGTTTTGTTTTTTTATCTATGTAGCAATATGAGCTTTAGGATTTCAGCTCCCGAGTTGTGTTGTATTACTGCAGACTATCGGCTCCCTTACTGACGTCATGTCAGCCTCACAGCAATGTGAGACAGTTCTACGGTTGTCGCAGGGGTGTTTCAGCTCGTTGCGGTTTCTTTCGTTGGGACGACATTCCGATATATTGCACTGCAAACAGTGATCGGGTTGCGGTGGTTTCCCAGAGGACATTGCAACTGAGGACAGACATTGTCAGAGCTTTAAATTAAACATTTTAATATTTTTAATTTTATATTTATCTTTATTTTATTTTTTTTTATACTCAAGCATGAGTGAGCATTCTATGTTTATTTTTTAAACTAATCAGTAATGGTTTGCGGTTTTTGTTTTATCTATTATATTGGTAATACAATTTTATTGCAAAGAGCATCACTAAACAAAGGCAAAATGATCATTAATCTAGTAACAGCTACAAATAAGTTGTTCTGAATAAGCTTTCTCAAACAACAAGACAGTTTATCTTGATAATCTGCAGATTATCAGATTGTCAGAAATAAACCCTTAGAATTAGACAAACAAGATCGGAAAAAAAATAATAATATTTGAGAATATTAAAGAGGAAGAAGGAAAACCAACAGAGTGCTGCCAAAGTTGCATTTTTCAACACATTAGTAAATTCTTTAATGGAATAAGCATAAATAAATTTTACGTTATTGTTTGTTCTGTGAAATAAAAACTTATATAAATCTCTTATTAAATAGAAAAATAAATTAAATGATATTTTAACTTATTTTTCATAAATAAATTTTCATTTTAGCCTGCATCCGTATAATGGTAGTCATGCGCTGTAATAATATTGAGAAAAATATTTAAATAATCCTCTAATAAAACTTTTCCTTGAAAATACCATAATTTTAAGCAATTTTTGACCTCTAAAGTAGAAGTGCACCTCTAGGTTCATTTTGTTCAATAGTTTTTCATTCTAGATTGCACTTCAATATTACACTTAGAGTATACTATTTGAATCCTAACATGAACACATATGTAATCCTCCATCAATATTCACTTCTGATTTTTATGATATTTTATATTATCTTTGTTTAGAACTATGATGATTTTAGGCAAAGTTAGTTTCTTGCATGCAAAGACGCTGACAGGTACATATCTTGGATAAAAGAGATTCCCCTGAAACAAGGGATCGCTTTTGTTCCTACATGCAATTTGTGCACTCCAAAATGAGTGCTATCTATTTTTTGACGATAATATTTAAGTAATTAACAAATAATATTGAAATAAGAATCCTATGAGTGTATTGCCTGACGTTTAGAGAACATCTCATATATATTTAATTTTATGATGTTTTTGGTTAATTTTCTTTAATAAATTTTTAAAATTATGTTGTATTTTGATAGTACAATTGAAGTACATTGCTAGAAAGCTGAAGTGAACCCTCATGTAATCCTTTAGAATAACTAATATTTAAAATTTATGATATTTTAGGTTTTTTATTTTTAAAAATAAGATTAGTTTAAGTAAATTTTTTAATGTCACTGTGAGTGTACTGTCTGTTTCCTATAACATTCACACATGCAATTCCCTTATGAAGTTGAAAGCAACATTTTATGAATTTTTAGGTTACTTTTTTAAAATAAATTTTTTATTTTTGTCTATCTATTAGTTGTTTATTGATGTATAAATGTCCAAAGATATCGACGATACATACATACATACATACATAGATACATACATATGTATGTAAATATGATGGCTGCTCCTTCTTCCTCTCCCACCATGTTGTGGGGTTTGATTTGGCCATGTCTTCTTAGGGGCAATTTTATCACAAGAAGTCATGTCCAATAGGCAGGAGCTATAATGATTTATGCTAACACCTTTCTGTAAGTATTGTTAAGCTCTCCTCCCACCGGGCGTAGATCACCATGTTGCATGTAGATAGCTTTTAAACTAACTTGATTTCCTTGTAGTTCAAGTCTGGTTTTGGCTTTATTATGTATTTTTTAGAGTCCTAGGACTGAGGTTGTAGCAAAAATAAAATACAGACATGAGTTCCGAGGTACTTGAGTGTTAAACCATGTGGCGAGGACCAGGAGCATAAGCACATTTCCCGTATCTTAATTCTCATTATAATATTTATATATAGCATTTAGGACAAGGAATGTATGTGCAAAGTCTGGCTTCCTTTTTGCTTTTCTGAGATATGTTGTCGGCCTAGAGACATCCAGCCTTTTCTTATTATTTATATGTTTGACTTGTACTCTACGTTGTATGCCTGCTATTTTAACTTTCTTTGATTGTTGTTTATCTTAGAATCCTGAGATTTATAATTTAGGCTCTTTATGGATCCTAAAATATATTTTTTTTTCTATAAAAATCCTAATAAAAGATTAAGATCAATCAAAATTTAGGACTAAAATATTTCAACTATTTAAAACCTACACTTTATTTTTTTTTCATGGCCTTTGGGCCAATTTTAAAATAGGTTGCATGCATAGCTATCACCCAAGCTATATTTAATATGGTCTCATCCTTAGGACTTTAGCTAATTACATTGCATTGTTGGTTTTGTTTTTGTTTTGAAAAGGGTTTTGAAAATAAGACCGAACATATCTCGAATATTTAATTGTTTCAATAACCGAACATGACATTACAAGTAATATTTCATCTTGAATAATGAGAATATCACTTAATAATGGATTCAATTATTCAAAATAAGAAATTTAAGATATTTGTTTGGTCTATGAAATTAGCAACATATCTTTCTCCTAGTTAATCTGAAGATTAGATAGAGTTTATATTATTTGTATTACTAATCTCTTATAAGGACAAGCCCCTATAATAATTATATCTTAAACGATCAAATTCATGTAAGAAATCTCTCAATTAAAATTGAGGTTCTTTAAGTATTCAAATTTTAGTTTACACAATTGATTATATGAAAATAAAATGGAAAATGTTTAATGTGGAACAATTATTTCTGGAACCCAAGGGAATGAAAGGTAGGAGATGTCGAAGATATCAAAGAAACCTCAATTACATCTCAAACTAACCTTTTACATCTTTGAAAGGGAATTTATGTGA